AAATTACTTTTGCAACAAAAATTTAATTTTTGCTACTACATTTGTTTGTCGCGAAATCCGTTTTTTTTTGTAGTGATAAAGAGTGTATACTGTTTTATAAATTGATAAAATCCCAATCAAGCATAAGTTAGTAAAGTGACAATTTGTATGAACTGTAACCGTGAACAATTTAGAACTTAGTGAGATCCTTTATTGACTATAAATGGAGATAAATTTTTAAATATTTGTACTAACATAGGCGTTAAGTTGGCTTAGTGGCAACTCAGTTGGCTTAACATTACCATTTTAATATCACATTGATTATTTTATTGCTTTGTGAACTAGTGTAATTATTTCGATTTACTCATAAGCTTTAGATAATCATTTAATTGTGACACTATAAGTGCATTGTATTAAATATGGAGCAATAATCGAATGGACATGTTATCAATACTAACTCGCTTGAGGTCTTAGGACATACTGTCTTCAAATATTTTGATCATCCCATTAGACTAAATAATGTTTCTAGCAAAACAATTAATACCCCTAATAGGAAATGGAAAAAAATCATAATTAACATACTTAATTTAATGATACTATTTCAAAAATATCGAACTTGTAGAATTCTTTCAAAAATTAAGTTATAAATCAATATTATCTTTCCCAAAATTATAAATATATGAATTTAAATAAGAGAATAATGCGACTTAAGCTAAGAAATAATGAAGGATAATTTTTCTGTCTCGTCTTATTACTTCCTAAAAAGCAACCAGAACGTTGTCAAAAAATCTAAAATAGAAAATAGAATCCCGAGCCTCCATGACATGATTATTTAGAATAGGTGAAGAAATTGATCACAAATTCCTAACACGATTTCTTGAATAATAGTTTCATTCTTGTCCTCTGTTTCTTATTTTGGAAGAAAATTCTTGTGATAAGTAAAGTTAATTAAACATTAAAATCTTGGCTTTTCTTAATTTTCTAAAAGAAAAGACAATTTGTCATATATGCCTAATTGAAAGCCCACTTCGTGTGGCCTTGAACTTGGATAGCCAACAAAGAAAAGGTTTGGGATTTTTCTGTCTTATGTATGAGCATGTTTCGTCAGAAAAAATTGGATAAATGGGTGTAAATAATTACCTAGCATTCTTCTACTTGAAACATACTTGAAGTTGAAGAAATCCTAAAATAAATTTGGTTGCCTTTCCTATACTTGTAACGTCTTGCCTTTGCTTGTACTTTTTAGTCACAAACTCTATCACAATGGAAGGAGTTCCGTTACCACAGTCCAAGTACCCTCTGTGCGATGATTGAATGTCCATAAATGATGATTCTAGTCTTTCAATTTTGCACATTTTTACATGTGAATTTTGTTTTTAGTTTTGCTTTGTTCTGACAAAAATTGATAGCTTACCACATTTATGTTACTAATCAAACAAATAAGGAAGTTATTATTCGTTATGGGTGGTTGAAAGCTATTCAAAAAATCAAAAAATAACTTCTTCCTCAAATCCATTTCATTCTACGTAAGTTGGGTGAACCCACATAGGAGACTTGTCCATTTTAAATATCTCCCTCTTACACACGATGGGCTTGACCTGAAATATCAATTAGATCTATCTAAGATCTAACAAATTAAAAGGGTTCGTACTAGCAAATGCATTGTTGACCTTCGAGTAACTTAGAGCATGCAATGTTATACACTTGTGAGGGATACATAGTAGTTATAGGAGGAATATCATTTCTCAACATACCTAGTTCACCTATTTTTTGTCCCTCATTTAATCAAGAATATACTTGAACTCTACATCATATATTGTATTCAAAATTGTGCCAAAATTCCAAATAGTTAACACAATCGTCTGACCGGTGAATACAAGCATGTTAGATCTTTCTCTACTCCAATTTCTTACCTTTAAAATATCTATTTTCCTATCCATATCTCGTTGGACCAAATCATTCATGATCATTGGCAATATGCTAAAGTAATAACTACATTATGAAGTCTCGAGAAATAATCAAACGTCATAAGGATATATTAAATGAGGTTATATATACCTTAGGGGCTCACACAATGAAGAAACAAGAATCCATTATTTCATTTTTTATTGTTCGTCCAAGCACACATGGTCTGATACACATCCTATGGTGTTTTTCCATTTCTTAGGGTATCACTACAAGTAAAAAGGCCTTTTGCAACATGCAAAAGGCAACATTCATCAATTGCATGTTGCTAAAAGGGGTCTATGGCAACAATCAGCAAGTGTATGTTGCTATTGGTTGACAAAATTGAGTTTTGGCAACGTTTTTTAAATGAAAGTTGCTAATATACACTTTTGGCAACAATCT